CCCTGGGGGTCCTATGGGGGCTCCTGCAGGGAGGGGCAGGCAGGGCTTTGCCAAGGGGGCGAGGGGTCCCCAGATGGGGCTGGACTACAACTCCCATCATCCCTGAGGCCTGGCCTGGCAGAGCTGGGGGTGATGGGAGTTGTAGTCCAGCCCACCGGGGCCCCCAGCTGGAGAAAGGCTGGTCCAGATGCTGGACTGATGACCCGGCGGGTCCCCTTCCAGCTCCGCAATGAAACGGAAGAGGAAGCCTTGGGGAGAAGCCCAGAATCTCAGGCTTGGAAGGCACCCAAAGGACATCTAGTCCAGCCCCTGCAATGCAGGAATCTCTGCTCAGCTCCCCAGTGCAGGCGGCCCTCCACCTTCTGCTCAGAAACCTCCAAGGAAGGAGAGGCCGCCATCTCTCCTGGGGGTGACAGGGCCCAGCAGCTCTTCAGTTTTTCCAAATGCTTTTCCAAATGAAACGGAAAACTGCAGCCCAGACCTAAATCGCAGATCTGCATCCCCCAGACTGAAGAGGAAGCCTCTCACTCTTCTTTCCGGTTGGGACTGCCTGCATTTGGGCCTTCAATATTTCACCTTTGAGAAGCTCCCATTTATTTCAGTATTTCAGAACATAAGATCTCACCCATACCTCCTTAAGCCTTTTTTAATTGGCCGCCTTAAAGTGAATTCCTGACTACACTCAGCTTGCGTTTCCCTCTGTCTCAGGGGAGGACATGATCACTTCCTCCCAAGTTTCCCAGTACTTCCACTTGCTTGATCAGTTCCCATCTGTTGTTGAGGACTAGGTCCAAGACAGATGATCCCCTTCTTGTTTCTTCCACCTTCTGGGTCATGAAATTGTCAGTGAGGCAATTCTGCATGGTCGCTTTCCTTAGACCAGGGCTAGACGCTTCCTTCTCTCTCTTCTTCCTTTTTTCCTGTTAATGAAAGTTCAGAGTCGGGGCTGTGGTGCAGTCCAGCCCTGGCTCCTAGCAAGACTCAGCCACGCTTGCTCAGGAAACATTTCTCTTCTCCTGACCATGTATCAGTCTGATAACAGACCAATATGTTTGCTTTGTAGGCTTTGCTAGCACCTCTAAATCGGACCATCAGAACTTGGCAGAAAACGAAAGGATTCCTTCCGATCTCTTGGAGGCTTCATGAGAGCCCAGATGGATGAGCAAGACTCAGCTGGCCCTGAAGCAGGAGGAGGCCCTGCCCTCCAAACTGGGAGCAGTGGGAGATTATGGGAAAACTCAGAGCAGAAGATCCCAGGTGAGGAGGACACCCTCTGCTCAGAGGTGCAGAGCCAGCAGTTGACGCAGTCCGGCTCTCAGGAGGCCAAAGGACCCCGAGAGGCTTGCGGCCGACTCCACCACCTCAACTGTCAGTGGCTGAAGCCAGAAAGTCATACGAAAGCTCAGATGCTGGACCTGGTGATCTTGGAGCAGTTCCTGGCTGTCCTTCCGCTGGAGATGGAGAGCTGGGTGAGGGAATGTGGAGCAGAGACCAGTTCCCAGGCTGTAGCCCTGGCTGAAGGTTTCCTCCTGAGTCAGGCGGAGAGGAGAGGAAGCAGGTGAGAGAGACTTTCCTCTGGAAACTCCCAAGGGGCTCCAAGCAAGACAGGAGCCTTCCAAGATGCTCTCCTAACGGCTCGCCCTCTTTGGAGAAGCAAGGGATGAGATCTGCTCCCTAGTTTGCTCTGATCATTCCTTTTCTAATCCTTCTCCCCATTCTCTGTTTTAAATCCTTGTTACTCTTTCAGGAAAAGGGTCTCTTTGCAGCAATGGGCCTGGATTCCTGTGAGGCAGAAAAGACTCCATTGGACGCCAGAGGGAGGCCACTGGGTAAGGAGGAACTCGTCTTTCTTCTCATTCTGTGGATCTTGAAACTAATCTTTGGGTTCTGTTCATCTTTAGGGGGGGAGGCACTTGGGGCCAAGAGCCCAAAGGGGGGGAAGATATATTTTGACAGAACAAAAATTTGAAATGGGTACAATGTCAAAATGCACTCAACAAGCAAGACCTTTTCCATGGCACATCTATGGCACTTATCTCCAAGTGCCGAACCTCTAGTTACAGGTAGGTAACCGTGTTGGTCCGAAGTGGTTGGAAAAAGAAAAAAAATTCCTTCCAGTAGCACCTTAGAGACCAACTAAGTTTGTTATTGGTATGAGCTTTCATGTGCATACACACTTCTTCAGATACACTGAAACAGGCTTCTGAAAGAGACTTCTGTTTCAGTGTATCTGAAGAAGTGAGAGACGCAGGAGCTGATGGCTTCCCTTTGACTTTTGTCTCTCGCAGGTGACCGAAGGATGCCCCCCAGACCTCCTCATCCATCTTTTCATGAGAACGGAGGAGAAGCAGCAGCTGTGGAAACAGATCTGGTATGGGGAAAGAGCTTTGTGGGGAAAGAGTCAGAGGAGTGGGGCAGCCAGGGAGCCTCTGGGCCGGAAGGAATTTCTCCTCCTCTTGGCTTCTGTCAAAGCCTCTGTCCTGAACAAAGATGGACAGTGCCATTGGAGAAGGTTTATGTGCTGACAGGAATGAACAGCCATCTCTCCTTAACTGGGCTTCGGAATGTCACTATTTTTATGATTTATCAGTAGCTGCAGTTATATTTCTATATTGATCTAATCAGGCTTCTAAGCAGTTGAGAAGCTTCCAAGAAGTTGAGAAGCCATAACAAACCGTGGCCGGGATTCACCTCAGCAGCCCCATGAGCTGCACAAGGGGAATCCCCCTCCTCCCCCTCTCTGTGCCCCCATGAGCCCCTTGAAGTTGGCTGTAGGGCAGAGGGAGGGTCCCATCGCCCCCCAAGCACCACACAGCGGGAGTAGAGAAGGGAGCATTCTGTCTGGCAGACAGGAATACTTCCACAGACAGAATAATTTGAAGAACATCATGCGGAGTTCCACCCATGCACACAAAGATTAATACCCATCATTAAAATGCACAGTAAAATAAATCAGTTGAAATGCTAAAATAGGCATCCAGACCTAAAATGTGCAGCAAAATAATCCCATTAAAAGAACACAACAAGGAATGGGCAGAAAACAATTGAGCAATGTATAGTGGATAATCTTTATGCTGTCTCAGAAGAGGACCTTTTTCCTTTTCCTTCAGGGTCCTCTGTGCTTTGAAGATGTCGCTGTGTGTTTCACAGAGGAGGAGTGGGCGTTGCTGGATCCTGACCAGAGAGCTCTGCATAAGGAAGTCATGGAGGAGAATCGTAGGATTGTGGACTCTCTCAGTAAGGATTCCTGCTGGACTATAATATATATTTTGTTGTTTTTTTTATAAGATATTTATTGAAGTTTTCAAGATATTACAAAACACACACACACACACACACACACACACACACAAAAGAGAAAATACAAAGTAAAAATATTTAAAAACAATTCATTCCTTCCATTACTTGACCTTCATTTGCTTAGTTCCAGGACCTCCTCACACCTCCCTTTTTTGTATTCCAGTTCGATTATTTCGTTCAGCAAATCCCTCCCCTCTTTATGTATCCTAATCATTAATCATAAAGTATTGTGATTTTAGATTTTTACATATTAATAAACCATTTTTTCATATTCCTTATAACCTTTCAGCTAAAGTTCACTTAGTTTCTATCCAACATCTTTCTAGCATTCATTAATTCTACAATATTTCTGTAGATAGTCTTTAAACTTTTTCCAATCTTCCTCCATCGACTCTTCTCCCTGGTCTCGGATTCTGCCAGTCATTTCCGCCAATTCCATATAGTCCATCAGCTTCATCTGCCATTCTTCCAGAGTGGGTAGATCTTGTGTCTTCCAATACTTTGCAATGAGTATTCTTGCTGCTGTTGTAGCATACATAAAGAAAGTTCTGTCCTTCTTTGGCACCAATTGGCCGACTATGCCCAGGAGAAAGGCCTCTGGTTTCTTCAAGAAGGTATATTTAAATACCTTGTTCAATTCATTATATATCATCTCCCAGAAAGCCTTAATCTTTGGGCACGTCCACCAAAGGTGAAAGAAAGTACCTTCATTTTCTTTACATTTCCAACATTTATTATCGGGCACATGGTAAATTTTTGCAAGCTTGACTGGTGTCATGTACCACCTGTATATCATTTTCATAATATTCTCTCTTAGGGCATTACATGCCATAAATTTCATACCTGTGGTCCACAACTGTTCCCAGTCAGCAAACATAATATTATGTCCAATATCTTGTGCCCATTTAATCATAGCAGATTTCACCATTTCATCCTGAGTATTCCATTTCAACAGCAAGTTATACATTCTTGCCAAATTCTTAGTTTTGGGTTCTAACAGTTCTGTTTCTAGTTTTGATTTTTCCACCTGGAAGCCAATTTTCTTATCCAAATTATATGCCTCCATTATCTGATAATAATGAAGCCAATCTCTCACTTTGTTTTTTAGTTTCTCGAAACTCTGCAATTTCAATTTGTCTCCTTCTTGTTCCAAAATTTCCCAATATTTCGGCCATTTGGCCTCCATATTGAGCCTTTTCAGAGCTTTCGCTTCCATCGGTGATCAGGTTCCCATCAATCTGTGTGTCAAGGAGAGTCAACAAAGGCAGTGAACCCTGTAGTAAGACCTCAGATCTAACTCATAGAATCATAGAATCATAGAGTTGGAAGAGACCCCAAGGGCCATCGAGTCCAACCCCCTGCCAAGCAGGAAAGACCATCAGAGCACTCCTGACATATGGTTGTCAAGCCTCTGCTTAAAGACCTCCAAAGAAGGAGACTCCACCACACTCCTTTGCAGCAAATTCCACTGTCGAACAGCTCTTACTGTCAGGAAGTTCTTCCTAATGTTTAGGTGGAATCTTCTTTCTTGTAGTTTGGATCCATTGCTCCGTGTCCGCTTCTCTGGAGCAGCAGAAAACAACCTTTCTCCCTCCTCTATGTGACATCCTTTTCTATATTTGAACATGGCTATCATATCACCCCTTAACCTCCTCTTCTCCAGGCTAAACATGCCCAGCTCCCTTAGCCGTTCCTCATAAGGCATCGTTTCCAGGCCTTTGACCATTTTGGCTGCCCTCCTCTGGACACGTTCCAGTTTGTCAGTGTCCTTCTTGAACTGTGGTGCCCAGAACTGGACACAGTACTCCAGGTGAGGTCTGACCAGAGCAGAATACAGTGGCACTATTACTTCCCTTGATCTAGATGCTATACTCCTATTGATGCAGCCCAGAATTGCATTGGCTTTTTTAGCTGCCGCGTCACACTGTTGGCTCATGTCAAGTTTGTGGTCAACCAGGACTCCTAGATCCTTTTCACATGTACTGCTCTCAAGCCAGGTGTCCCCCATCTTGTATTTGTGCCTCTCATTTTTTTTGCCCAAGTGCAATACTTTACATTTCTCCCTGTTAAAATTCATCTTGTTTGTTTTGGCCCAGTTCTCTAATCTGTCAAGGTCGTTTTGAAGTGTGATCCTGTCCTCTGGGGTGTTAGCCACCCCTCCCAATTTGGTGTCATCTGCAAATTTGATCAGGATGCCCTTGAGTCCATCATCCAAGTCGTTGATAAAGAAGTTGAATAAGACTGGGCCCAAGACAGAACCCTGTGGCACCCCACTAGTCACTCTTCTCCAGGATGAAGAGGAACCATTGATGAGCACCCTTTGGGTTCGGTCAGTCAGCCAGTTACAAATCCACTGAGTGGTAGCATAGTCAAGACCACATTTTACCAGCTTCTTTACAAGAATATCATGGTGCACCTTGTCAAATGCCTTGCTGAAATCAAGGTAGGCTACATCCACTGCGTTCCCTTCATCTATCAGGCTTGTAATTCTGTCAAAAAACGAGATCAGGTTAGTCTGACATGACTTATTTTTCAGAAATCCATGCTGACTATTGGTGATCACAGCATTCCTTTCTAGGTGCTCACAGACTGTTTGCTTAATGATCTGCTCCAGAATCTTCCCTGGTATTGATGTCAGACTGACTGGGCGGTAATTAATTGGGTCCTCTCTTTTCCCCTTTGAAAATAGGGACAACATTTGCCCTCCTCCAGTCTGCCGGGACTTCGCCTGTTCTCCAGGAATTCTCAAAGATGACTGTCAGTGGTTCTGAGATCACATCTGCCAGTTCTTTTAATACTCTTGGATGCAGTTCATCTGGCCCTGGAGACTTGAATACATCTAAACTAGCCAAGTATTCTTGTACTATCTCCTTAGTTATTCTGGGCTGTGTTTCCTTTGCTGAATCATTTGCTCCAAATTCTTCAGGTCGGGCATTGTTTTCTTTATCGGAGAAGACTGAGGCAAAGAAGGCATTGAGGAGTTCAGCCCTTTCTGTGTCCCCTGTTTGCATTTCACCATCTTCTCCTCTGAGTGACCCCACTGTTTCTTTGTTCTTCCTTTTGCTACGGACATACCCATAAAAGCCTTTTTGTTGCTTTTAACCTCTCTAGCAAGCCTGAGTTCATTCTGTGCTTTAGCTTTCTGACTTTGTGTCTACACGTGCTGGCTATTTGTTTGAATTCCTCTTTGGTGGTTTCCCCTTTTCCATTTTTGTACACATCCTTTTTAATCTTAACTCAGTTAAAAGTTCTTTAGATAGCCACCCTGGCTTCTTTAGGCACCTTCCATGTTTCTGTCTCATTGGTATTGCCTGACGTTGTGCTTTTACTATCTCCCTCTTAACAAACTCCCAGCCATCATGAACTCCCTTTCCTTTTAGTATTACTGTCCATGGGATCTCACCCAGCACTTCCCTAAGTTTTATGAAGTCAGCTTTCTTAAAGTCAAGAAATTGAGTCCAGTATGCTTGGCTGCTCCTTTCCGCTGTATAGTAAACTTCAGAAGAGCATGATCACTCGCGCCTAATGATCCTTCCACTTCTACCCCACTAACCAGGTCATCAACATTGGTTAGGACCAGATCTAAAATGGCTGTTCCTCTTGTTGCTTCTCCCACTTTCTGGACAATGAAGTTGTCTGCAAGGCCAGTGAGGAATCTGTTTGACCTTATGCTCTTGGCTGAGTTTGACATCCAACAAATATCCGGGTAATTGAAGTCCCCCATTACTACTATCTCCCTTCCTTTTGCATGCTTGGCCATCTGTTCCAGGAAGGCATCATCTATGTCCTCCGTTTGGCTTGGGGATCTATAGTAAACGCCCACAATGAGGTCACTGTTATTCTTCTCTCCCTTAATTTTGACCCAAATGCTCTCACTTTGGCTTTGAGGTTCTAAATCTTGGATCTCTTCACAGGTATACACATCCCTGACATATAACGCCACTCCTCCTCCTTTCTTGTCTGGTCTGTTTCTCTGAAATAGATTGTATCCCCCATTATTATATTCCAATCGTGGGACTTATCCCACCAGGTTTCAGTGATGCCTATTATGTCATATTTAGTTTGCTGTACCAAGAGCTCAAGCTCATCTTGTTTATTTCCCATGCTTTGCGCATTAGTGTACAGACATTGAAGTCTATTAATCATTCCCCCGTGTCTCTTATTTAAGGATTTTTTCCTCCCACCACTAGGTCTGCGTGCTGTTTGCTCCATTTGGTCTATGACATTTGGATGATCATCTTCATCAATTGATAGACTCCTACCTTCAGGAGCACTGTCTCCCTCCCCACATTAGTCAGTTTAAAGCCCTCCTGATGAGGTTTCTGAGATTTTTGGCAAAAACATTTCTCCCAACCGTTGTGAGGTGCAGCCCATCGCTTGCCAGAAGTCCATCTTCAAGAAACTGCAGTCCGTGATCTAAGAATCCAAACCGTTCCTGTTTACACCATTTGCGAAGCCAGCTGTTCACTTCCACTATTTTTCCCTCTCTCCCTGGGCCACGTCATTCAACTGGGAGGACAGATGAGATCACAATTTGTGCATTTAATTGCTTCAATTTCCTGCCCAGAGCCTCGTAGTCTCTTTTGATCTTCTGGAGGCTATTGCTTGCAGTGTCATTGGTTCCCACATGAACCAAGAGGAAGGGGTATTTGTCAGTGGGTTTTATGATTCCTTGCAGTCGTTCAGTTACATCTTGGATCTTAGCCCCGGGAGACAGCACACTTCCCGAGACATCTTGTCAGGCCCACAGATCACTGCTTCTGTTCCCCTCAGTAGGGAATCCCCTATCACCACTACACGCCTCCTCTTAGGTTTGGTCGGGGTTCTTCCGTGAGCTGTCCGCTCCAAGGTCGCCTGCACATTCCCTGAGGACTGACTTTGCTGCTCGTCTTCATATACCTGATCGACTGTAATGAGGGAGAGATCCTCAAATGGAGTCTGCTCTTCGTCTTCCATGCTAGGGGAGAGGACCTCAAAGCGACTGTGTATTTCTAAACAATCAGAGCGAACCCTGGGCCTCCTACTTCTTTGAGTCACGTTTCTCCATATATCTGGCTCCTGTGTTGGTGAACTAGCCTCCTTCTCAGGGGAGTCCCCTGTCTCCTCCTTGGTGGAGATGGTGTGCTCTGTTGCTTCCAAGAAGAGCTCCAGCTCTCTAATTCTTTGGAGCGTAGCTACACGTTCCTCCAGTTGCTGGACTTTGTCTTTTAAGAGGGCAATCAACATGCAATTGCTGCAGGTAAAGCTGCCTGCAACCTTTGGCAAGATGGCAAACATTGCGCAGGAACCCTTCCGTTCTTCATCGATCACAAACATTCATTAGCAGTCTTCCATAATTTGGGGCTCTATTTCTTCCTAAGGCTCTAATGTGTTTCTCTCTTTGATGCAGGTGGAGATGGATTGGAAATTATGAACAAGGGGAACCGTGACAACATTCACACAGTGGGGAAGTTGTATAAATATTTGGAGTGTGGAGAGAGTTATAGTCTGAGCTCCCATTCTACTTCCCATAAAATATATCCTATTGGGAAAAATCGTTATCGGTACTTGGAAGATGGTAAGACGGTTCGTCAGAAGACATTTCTCACTTTCCCTAAAAGAAGTCACAGCAGGGAGAGACCATATCAGTGTTTGAAATGTGGGAAGAGCTTCAGTCACAGGGCTGTGCTCAAGGCCCATCAAAGAATTCATACAGGAGAGAAACCCTATAAGTGCTTGGAATGTGGAAAGAGCTTCAGGCAGAAAGCTAAGCTCACAGATCATCAAAGAATTCATACAGGGGAGAAACCATATCAGTGCTTGGAATGTGGGAAGAGCTTCAGTCGGAAGGACCATCTCATATCCCATCAAAGTATTCATACAGGGGAGAAACCATATCAGTGCTTGGAATGTGGAAAGAATTTTAGTCGGAAGGATACCCTTACTTCACATGAAAGAATTCACCGAGTGGAGAAACCATATAAATGCTCGGAATGTGGAAGGGGCTTCATTAAGGGCTGCCAGCTCACTTCCCATCAAACAATTCACACTGGGGAGAAACCCCATCAGTGCTTAGAATGTGGGAAGAGCTTCACTCGCAAGAATAGTCTCACTTTCCATCAAAGAATTCATACAGGGGAGAAACCCCATCAGTGCTTAGAATGTGGGAAGAGCTTTAGTCGCAAAAATAGTCTCACTTCCCATCAAAGAATTCATACAGGGGAGAAACCATATCAGTGCTTGAAATGTGGAAAGAGCTTCAGTAGGAAGAGACGTCTCACTTGCCATCAAAGAAGTCATACAAGGTATGAACCCTATAAATGCTTGGAGTGTGGAAAGAGCTTCAATCGGAGGTCCTTTCTCATTTCCCATCAAAGAATTCATACAGGGGAGAAACCATATCAGTGCTTGGAGTGTGGAAAGAGCTTCAATCGGAGGTCCTTTCTCACTTCCCATCAGAGAATTCATACAGGGGAGAAACCATATCAGTGCTTGGAATGTGGGAAGAGCTTCACTCGCAAGAATAGTCTCATTTCCCATCAGAGAATTCATACAGGGGAGAAACCATATCAGTGCTTGGAATGTGGGAAGAGCTTCAGTCGCAAGAATAGTCTCACTTCCCATCGAAGAATTCACACAGGGGAGAAACTATATCAATGCATGGAATGTGGAAAGAGCTTCAGTCACAGGCAGGGTCTCACTTCCCATCAAATAATTCATACAGGGGAGAAACTCTATCAGTGCTTGGAATGTGGAAGGAGCTTCAGTCACAGGCAGGGTCTCACTTCCCATCAAAGAATTCATACAGGGGAGAAGCCATATCAGTGCTTGGAATGTGGAAATAACTTCAGTCGGAAGGGACATCTTACTTCCCATCAAACAGTTCACCGTGAGGAGAGACCATATCAATACTTGGAATGTGGAATGAGCTTCAAATGGAAGAAAAGTCTCACTTTCCATCAAGGAACTCACAGCAGGGAGAATCATGGTATCTGAAGATGGGTCTCGTATGTCTTCTCAATCTCCTCTTTTCCAGTCTAAGCCTACCTAGCTCCTTCTATTGTTCCTTAAAAGGCTAGTTTTCCAAATGCTTGATTATATTGGTCACCCTTCTCTGCACAGATTCCAACTTCTCAATATCCTCCTTTGATTGTGACATCCAGAATTGAGCACAGGACTCCAGGTGTGGTCTGACGAAGGCAGAAAGGAACATAGTATTACTTCCCATGACCTGGATATTAGACGTCTGTTGATATAGACTAAAATAGCATTAGCTTATTTTGCTACTGACTCACCTTGTTGACTCACGTTAAGCTTTTGGTGTCCTAAGACCCTTAGATCCTTTTCACATGTGCTGCTGGCAAGCGTGGTGTTTCCCACAGAATCATAGAATTGTAGACGTCTAATGGTCTTAGAGACATCACTTTGCCAACAAAGGTCCGTATAGTAAAAGCTTTGGTTTTCCCAATAGTGATGTATGGAAGTGAAAGCTGGACCATAAAAAAGGGTGATCGCCGAAGAATTTATGCTTTTGAATTATGGTGCTGGAGGAGACTCTTGAGAGTCCCATGGACTGCAAGAAGATCAAACCTATCCATTCTTAAGGAAATTAGCCCTGATTGCTCAGTGGAAGGACAGATCCTGAAGCTGAGGCTCCAAGACTTTGGCCACCTCATGAGAAGAGAAGACTCCCTGGAAAAGACCCTGATGTTGGGAAAGATGGAGGGCACAAGGAGAAGGGGACGAGAGAGGACGAGATGGTGGGACAGTGTTCTCGAAGCTACCAGCATGAGTCTGCCCAAACTGCGGGAGGCAGTGGAAGACAGGAGGGCCTGGCGTGCTCTGGTCCAGGGGGTCACGAAGAGTGGGACAACACTAAACGACTAAACAACAACAACAATGGTCTTACTGGACCAGAAGCTGAACATGAGTCAACCGTCTGATGACATCCAGCATGGAATGTGTCCCTCCGTTTTTCAGCATTTTTAGTAGTTTAGCAGTCTCTGCTCTTTTTGCCTTCCCTGGGAGGAAGGTGGAGTGGATGTCTGAAACTCAATGTCAAACTGAAACTCAATCCAGGTAAGACTGAGGCAGTTAGTGGGTGGTGCCCTAGACCAGATGGCTGGGAGATCACCTGCTCTTAAATTTTTTTAAAAAAAATTAAATACACGATAACTTTAACCTTTCCAAAACATAAAAAATATCAAGGTCCAGACCTTCAGACCTCCCTGCCATGGGTTCCAGTTCTAATGATTCTACCTTTTCCTTTTTTCCTGCATCTTTTACCATTACCCATCTACAGTGGTACCTCGGGTTACATATGCTTCAGGTTACAGACTCCGTTAACCCAGAAATCGTATCTCGGGTTAAGAACTTTGCTTCAGGATGAGAACAGAAATCGTGCTCCGGCAGCGAGGCGGCAGCAGGAGGCCCCATTAGCTAAAGGTTTAGCTTCAGGTTAAGAACGGACCTCCGGAACGAATTAAGTACTTAACCCGAGGTACCACTGTATTATGTAATCATAGTAACCAAAGTTGAGTTCACATTACAAGTGTCCTTGTATCCCTGCCCGTGATTTTAACTGTCTACAGTGGTCTTTCAAGTAAACAATAAAATTATTCCAGTCTTTTAAAAATACTTGTTCTTCCTGGTTTCTGATCTTTCCCCTTAGTCTCGCCATTTCTGCGCATTCCATCAGTTTGGTCTGCCGCTCTTCTTTAGTCGGTACTTCACCTTCTTTCCATCTCTGGGCCAAAAACATTCTGCCGTCATTGCATCCATAAACAGTCTCTTATTTTCTCTGGTAATTCATCACATATTATACCTAACAGAAAAGCCTCTTAAACCCTTTCTTCAACTCAGTGTATATCATTTCCCAGAACGCTTTTAGCACTCCACAGGACCACCACATATGATAAAAGGTACTGTCAGGGAACTGCCATCGGAGCTAGAGGCGGAGGGAAGGCTCCAGAGGGATGGCGGAGAGGGTCCCAGTAGGGAGAGAGGCAGCCCGTCCGCTGGGGAAGGAAATCAGCGTAACACCAGTGGAGAAGGGGGGCAGATGGGGGAATCGGAGAGGAGGCTCCAAGACTCCTCGCCGGAGACCAGCGGCGAGAGTACGGGTCCTCCGCTGCCCACACCCTCCCTGTGCAGAAGACTTCCGCGCAGGGAGAGTAGGAGGAGACTTGGCGTCAAAGAACTTTTGTGCTGGAAGAAGTTCAAGAAACGCCCACTGATGGATTCTGCCAGCGACTGAGACAGTCACGATGCTGGAGGCTGTTCAGTCAGAAAGGGTTAAACCAGGTAACCTCGCCAGCAGTGGCGGCAACCTACGCACGAGCAACCCCTAAATCCATTACAGGTACCTTCTTTCCTTTTACATTTCCAGCACAAATTTGAGCTGGTTCTATACATTTGTGCAATTTTACTCAGTGTTAGGTACCAACAGTACATCATTTTCATATAGGTTTCTTTCAACAGAACAGCAAGCCATCAACTTCAAATCCTCATTCCATAACTTTTCCCATTATAATAATTGTATATTATAACCAAAGTCATTGATTTAACCTCAAGGTTAGATTACTGCAATGCGTTACACATTGGGCTGCCTCTGAAGACTGTTTGGAAACTTCAGCTGGTGCAGAATTCAGCGGGCAGGTTGCTCACCGGAGCAAGACGGTTTGAACATATTGCACCAATCCTGGTCCGACTGCACTGGCTGCCCATTCAGTGTGCTGGTTTTGACCTATAAAGCTTTAAACATCTCAGGACTGCAATTCCTCAAGGACCGCCTCTCTCCATATGAACCTACAGGACCCTGAGATCATCTGAGGCCCTTCTTTGTGTCCCTCCTCCTTGAGAGGTCCGGAGGGTGGCAGCACAGGAACGGGGCCTTCTCTGCAGTGGCTCCCCACGTGAAGAATGCTCTCCCCAGGAAAGTTCCCCCAAGCGCCTTCGATATACACCTTTAGGCGCCGGGCAAAAATGTTCCTTTTTAACCAGGCCTTTGGTTGATTTGATTGACATCCTATGGCCTTTTAAAATGTGTTTGGGGGGTGGGTTTATCGGGTGGTGGTTGTTTTTATTTTGAATATTCTGCGGTTTTATATTCTGGTTTTATTTTGTGAATTGCCCTGAAAGCCTGCAGGCATAGGGCGGTATATAAATTTAATAAAGAAATGAAATGTCTCCTCCCAGGATTCTCTCCCCCTCTGGATAAACAGCTCCTGCTGAAGTTGGAGAGGGGCAGCGAGAGCGGCAGTAGCGGACCCAGCACCTCCTCTTGCGCCCCAGAGGCGCTTGCTCTAAAGGGGAAGGGGAGGCCAAGGCAGCCCCCCTTTTCCTGCTCAGTCCAACACGTGGACCTTCCCTTCCTCTGCTGGGTGAGGCAAGGACCCCTGGACGGTCAGGTCCCGTCAAAGGCGACTGGGGCGCAGAGCTCATCTCGCTTCAGGCTGAGGGAGCCCAGGTTGGTCCACAGACAGCTTTCCGGGTCATATGGGCAGCAGGACTGAACCGCTTCTGGTCCAAATGGACACCGTGAGAAGTGCCAGAGCGCACAGAAACACCACAGGGGTACCTATTTCTCTACTTGCGCTGGTGTGCTTTGGAACTGCTAGGTTGGCAGGAGCTGGGACAGAGCAAGGGGAGCTCAGTCATGGGGACTGGAACCACAGACCTTCCGCTGGGCAGCCCAAGTCTCAGTGGCTTATAGACCACAGAACCCCCTGCGCCCCACGACCTTCCCTTTTTGGGGGGGAAATTCCCTTATTCCAGCGCCGCTTCCGGCTGCGATCCCGGATTGTTAGACATCCCATAGACTGTCCCCAGGACAGGTGAGGCTGCTGATCTCTTATTTTCAAATCTGAAAGTTGACAGCTATGGCAGGATCCTGGGCCGGATGGGTCCCTTTGGTGCGATGCAGCTGCCCCAGGGCTCTTCCTGGTTTCTGAGGAGTCCTGCATGGAGCCTCCCGCTGGTATCCCGGATTGTTAGATCTCCCCTAGACTGTCCCCGGACAGGGGAGGCTGCTGCTCCCTTGACAGCTCTGGCCCTGCCTGACTTGAGCCCTCCAGGCCCCCCTCCAGGCCCCCCGCCTGCCTTTTCCCTGCCCATCCCGGGGGGGGCAGGGGGCTCCCCTTTCTCCTCCTCCGGCCCCCAGGCTCCCCCCGAAGGAGACCAGCTGGGCGCGCCCGGCGGGCCAAGGGTTAAGAGCAGCTGCGCCGCCCTCCTAGAGAGGACAGGAAGGGAGGGGGCGGGTCTTCCGGAGGGGCCCCTCTTGTCTCCTCCGGTGAGTCTCCTCTCCCCCCTGGGGGTCCTATGGGGGGGGCTCCTGCAGGGAGGGGCAGGCAGGGCTTTGCCAAGGGGGGCGAGGGGGTCCCCAGATGGGGCTGGACTACAACTCCCATCATCCCTGAGGCCTGGCCTGGCGAGCTGGGGGTGATGGGAGTTGTAGTCCAGCCCCACCGGGGGCCCCCAGCTGGAGAAAGGCTGGTCCAGATGCTGGACTGATGACCCGGCGGGAATGAAACGGAAGAGGAAGCCTTGGGGAGAAGCCCAGAATCTCAGGCTTGGAAGGCACCCAAAGGACATCTAGTCCAGCCCCTGCAATGCAGGAATCTCTGCTCAGCTCCCCAGTGCAGGCGGCCCTCCACCTTCTGCTCAGAAACCTCCAAGGAAGGAGAGGCCGCCATCTCTCCTGGGGGTGACAGGGCCCAGCAGCTCTTCAGTTTTTCCAAATGCTTTTCCAAATGAAACGGAAAACTGCAGCCCAGACCTAAATCGCAGATCTGCATCCCCCAGACTGAAGAGGAAGCCTCTCACTCTTCTTTCCGGTTGGCACTGCCTGCATTTGGGCCTTCAATATTTCACCTTTGAGAAGCTCCTATTTATTTCAGTATTTCAGAACATAAGATCTCACCCATACCTCCTTAAGCCTTTTTTAATTGGCCGCCTTAAAGTGAATTCCTGACTACACTCAGCTTGCATTTCCCTCTGTCTCAGGAAACCTCAAGAGGACATGATCACTTTCTCCCAAGTTTCCCAGTACTTCCACTTGCTTGATCAGTTCCCATCTGTTGTTGAGGACTAGGTCCAAGACAGATGATCCCCTTCTTGTTTCTTCCACCTTCTGGGTCATGAAATTGTCAGTGAGGCAATTCTGCATGGTCGCTTTCCTTAGACCAGGGCTAGACGCTTCCTTCTCTCTCTTCTTCCTTTTTTCCTGTTAATGAAAGTTCAGAGTCGGGGCTGTGGTGCAGTCCAGCCCTGGCTCCTAGCAAGACTCAGCCACGCTTGCTCAGGAAACATTTCTCTTCTCCTGACCATGTATCAGTCTGATAACAGACCAATATGTTTGCTTTGTAGGCTTTGCTAGCACCTCTAAATCGGACCATCAGAACTTGGCAGAAAACGAAAGGATTCCTTCCGATCTCTTGGAGGCTTCATGAGAGCCCAGATGGATGAGCAAGACTCAGCTGGCCCTGAAGCAGGAGGAGGCCCTGCCCTCCAAACTGGGAGCAGTGGGAGATTATGGGAAAACTCAGAGCAGAAGATCCCAGGTGAGGAGGACACCCTCTGCTCAGAGGTGCAGAGCCAGCAGTTGATGCAGTCCGGCTCTCAGGAGGCCAAAGGACCCCGAGAGGCTTGCGGCCGACTCCACCACCTCAACTGTCAGTGGCTGAAACCAGAAAGTCATACAAAAGCTCAGATGCTGGACCTGGTGATCTTGGAGCAGTTCCTGGCTGTCCTTCCGCTGGAGATGGAGAGCTGGGTGAGGGAATGTGGAGCAGAGACCAGTTCCCAGGCTGTAGCCCTGGCTGAAGGTTTCCTCCTGAGTCAGGCGGAGGAGAGGAAGCAGGTGAGAGAGACTTTCCTCTGGAAACTCCCAAGGGGCTCCAAGCAAGACAGGGAGCCTTCCAAGATGCTCTCCTAATGGCTTGCCCTCTTTGGAGAAGCAAGGGATGAGATCTGCTCCCCTAGTTTGCTCTGATCATTCCTTTTCTAATCCTTCTCCCCATTCTCTGTTTTAAATCCTTGTTACTCTTTCAGGAAAAGGGTCTCTTTGCGGAAATGGGCCTGGATTCCTGTGAGGCAGAAAAGACTCCGTTGGACGCCAGAGGGAGGCCACTGGGTAAGGAGGAACTCGTCTTTCTTCTCATTCTGTGGATCTTGAAACTAATCTTTGGGTTCTGTTCATCTTTAGGGGGGGAGGCACTTGGGGCCAAGAGCCCAAAGGGGGGGAAGATATATTTTGACAGAACAAAAATTTGAAATGGGTACAATGTCAAAATGCACTCAACAAGCAAGACCTTTTCCATGGCACATCTATGGCACTTATCTCCAAGTGCCGAACCTCTAGTTACAGGTAGGTAACCGTGTTGGTCTGCCGTGGTTGGAAAAAGAAAAAAAATTCCTTCCAGTAGCACCTTAGAGACCAACTAAGTTTGTTATTGGTATGAGCTTTCATGTGCATACACACTTCTTCAGATACACTGAAACAGGCTTCTGAAAGAGACTTCTGTTTCAGTGTATCTGAAGAAGTGAGAGACGCAGGAGCTGATGGCTTCCCTTTGACTTTTGTCTCTCGCAGGTGACAGACGGATGCCCCCCAGACCTCCTCATCCATCTTTTCATGAGAACGGAGGAGAAGCAGCAGCTGTGGAAACAGATCTGGTATGGGGAAAGAGCTTTGTGGGGAAAGAGTCAGAGGAGTGGGGCAGCCAGGGAGCCTCTGGGCCGGAAAGAATTTCTCCTCCTCTTGGCTTCTGTCAAAGCCTCTGTCCTGAACAAAGATGGACAATCCCATTCAAGAAGGTTTATGTGCTGACAGGAATGAACAGCCATCTCTCCTTAACTGGGCTTCGGAATGTCACTATTTTTATGATTTATCAGTAGCTGCAGTTATATTTCTATATTGATCTAATCAGGCTTCTAAGCAGTTGTTCAAGCCATAAAAAAACCAGTGGCCAGGATTAAGTAGCCCCATCAGCTGCTGGGGATCCCCCCCCCCCCCGTGCCCCCATGAGCTCCATGAAGTTGGCTGTAGGGCACAGGGAGAGTCCCATCGCCCCCCAAGCAGCACACAGCGGGAGTAGAGAAGGGATCATTCTGTCTGCCAAACAGGAATGCTTCCACAGACAGAATAATTTGAAGAACACCATGTGGAGTTCCACCCATGCACACAAAGATTTATACCCATTGTCAGATGCTGCTGGTGGTTGCTCGTGAGTAACCAGTCAGGACTCTGACCTGTCTTTTACAGGTTTTATTGTGCAAACTATTTACAGTGCAGATCTACAAAGTTCATGTCCATCTCAGTCACTTGCAGAATCTGGGAGTGGCCCCTTCCGGCTTCTCCCCCAACATAAGAACTTTGACACCCCAAGCCTCCTCCTCCCCTCCTTATGTTTCACCCCCTGCGCAAGCTGGGCGACGGAAGTGGCGTGCGTCCCTCCTGGCCAGCCTGGCGAGGTGAGGCGCTGCTCCTCAGGAGTTTCGGAGGCTCTCTGTAGCCCAATGGCCCCCCTGCCTCCCTCCCCTGTTCCGATGGCAGTCCCCTGACACCCATCATTAAAATGCACAATAAAAGAAGACAATTAAAATGTTCAAGTAAGTGTCTATAATTAGAATGTGCAGCAAAATAATCCCATTAAAAGAACACAACAATGAACGGACAGAAAACAATCAAGCAATGTGTAGTAGAGAATCTTATGCTGTCTCAGAAGAGGACCTTTTCCTTTTTCTTTTAGGGTCCTCTGTGCTTTGAAGATGTCGCTGTGTATTTCACAGAGGAGGAGTGGGCGTTGCTGGATCCTGACCAGAGAGCTCTGCATAAGGAAGTCATGGAGGAGAATCGTGCGATTGTGGACTCTCTCAGTAAGGATTCCTGCTGGATCATAATCTCTTTTCTTCCTCCTCCTTCCTTCTTCCTTTTAAAACCATGATCAGGCTGCTCTCAGCTGCCCTTGCCTTTTTAAATGTAGACTTCATCATGGGGACAGAAGATGAACCTGCTGCTATGAGGTTTATTAGTTTTTGCTTCTGTAAATTATTGGTTTACCAAAGAGATGACTGAACTTGCAAATGGGTCCCAGCAAACAAAATGGCTAGGGCAGGTTCCACAGGGGGGGATGCACTGGGACAACCGATCTCAGTGATCATGGGTAGGAGGAGGAGTTACGCTAAGACCAGACCATGTCATTACCGAGGAAGCAGGCTTAGTCGTTGTCTGAGGACTATCCCTGCCTCCAGGTCTGACCGGACTGGGCAGATACTGGAATCAGCAAGGGATACCCACACGACCTGAAGGTGCTGCTGTGCAATGCCAGGTGAATGATTCATTAGACCACTGCCATCCATGACTTGATCATGGATGGAGGACTTGACCTGGCATGTGTAACAGAGACTTGGTTGGATGAAGCAGATGGGCCTGTCCTTGCCGCTGCTTGCCCACCAGGTTTCTCTTACGCACAGCAACCCAGGTCATGTGGGCGGGGAGGGGGGGTTGCAGTGATTTTTAGGAAGTCATTAGTTTGCACCAGGCATCCTATTGAAAAGACCCAGTTCTCTGAGTGCATGTTCTGGAAGTTGGGCAATAGGGGCAGTACAGGATTCCTATTGGTGTACCGACCTCCCTGCCCGAGCTGCTTCAGGTCGTGGCAGATGTTCTCCTGGAGACACCTAGTTTGGTTGTCCTAGGGGATTTTAACATCCATGCCGACACGACCTTACAAGGGGCCGCTCGGGACTTCGTGGAAAGCATGGCCTCCATGGGGCTGTCCCTGAATAAGTCTGGCCCAACCCATAGCCGTGGACATGCCTTGGACCTGGTGTTTACCTCTATGGATGTTGGAAATCTGACACTAAGTAAAAGCGAAACCAAAGAAGTGCCATGGTCAGATCACTTCTTGGTGCAACTGGACTTCTCCACGACCCTTCCCCTCTGCAGGGAGGTGGGACCGATTCAGATAGTCCGCCCCCGCCACTTAATGGATCCAAATGGTTTCCAGAGAGTGGTAGGGGATGCTTTATCCCATGTTGATGGCCTTTCAGCTGATTCCCTGGTGGTCCGCTGGAATGCGGAGTTAACCAGGGCTATTGACTGTTTGGCTCCAAAGCGCCCTCTCCGATTGCATGGAGCCCGGACAGCCCCGTGGTTTTCGCTGGAGCTGAGAGGGATGAAACAATCGTTGAGACGGCTAGAGCGCCGGTGGCGGAAAACTCACTCTAAATCACACCAGACACAGGCTAGAGCTCAACCTCGAGCCTACCAAGTGGCGATAGCGACGGCGAAGAAGACTTTCTTCACCGCCTCCATTGCATCTGCGGAAAACAGCAGCAGGCGACTCTTTGAGGTGGTTCGCAATTTAGCAGAACCACCTGCTACATCGGGGCCCAGTACGGGCCACATGATTTCCTGCAATGATTTTGCGAAGTTTTTTGCAGATAAAGTTGCTCAGGTTCGAGAAGAGGTGGACTCCACCGTGGGAGCAAGGCCGGGGCGGGAGAGTGCTAGAGTCCTGTCTAGTCAAGTTGTGTGGGATCAATTCCAATCTGTTACCTCCGAGGATGTGGACAGGCTGCTTGGACGAGTGAAACCAACCACCTGTCTCCTTGATCCCTGCCCATCCTGGCTCATAAAAGCTAGCCGGGAAGGGCTGGGCGATGGGCTTCGTGGGGTGGTGAATGCTTCCCTCCGTGAGGGAGCCTTCTCAGACCCGCTGAAAGAGGCAGTTATTAAACCGCTTCTTAAAAAACCATCTTTAGATGCTGCCACGATGGCCAACTATCGCCCAGTCTCAAATCTTCCATTCTTGGGCAAGGTGATTGAGCGAGTGGTTGCTGAACAACTCCAGGCACGCCTGGAAGAAGCGGACCATTTCGATCCCTTCCAGTCGGGATTCAGGCCTCATCATGGGACTGAAACTGCCTTGGTTGCACTGGTTGATGATCTCAGAAAGTGGTGGTGGGGGATGAGTGTTCAGACCCCTGGGCTCTCACTTGTGGGGTGCCTCAGGGTTCTGTCCTCTCCCCCATGCTTTTCAACATCTACATGAAGCCGCTGGGAGAGATCATCAGGGGATTTGGGCCGGGTGTTCATCAGTATGCGGATGATACCCAGCTCTACCTCTCTTTCAAATCAGAACCAGTGAAGGCAGTGAAGGTCCTGTGTGAGTGCCTGGAGGCGGTTGGAGGTTGGATGGCGGCTAACAGATTGAGGTTGAATCCTGACAAGACAGAAGTACTGGGTTTGGGACTTCC